TTTTCTTTCTTTAAAGTTTTCCCAAACGAAATTAAGATAGTTGTTGCTTGTTGTTGTTTTAAATAAGTTGACTAGAATTTTCATACGAACGGACGCAATTTATCTTTCTCGGAAGAAATATATCCGTTTCCCAACTGGCTATAGAATAAATCTGGTTCGTAAGTATGTAAGTTGAAGGAGTGTCACCTGAGCATGGGAAAAATTAGAATTACATGCACTTGTTGAATATCCAGTCACTAATTGTCTATGGGCGAACTCGGCTGCTGAAATGGTTGAGTGTTTGCTTTTAATATTCGCGTTCGAGTCCAGTTGAAAATCCAGGTTTCTCTGTTAATGTTCAAGAAAGTCAGGCATTTGCCATTTAAAGATTGGAGCAATTCAATTTTTCTATCTTGAGACCAATCAGTACTTTCATGCACTTACAAAATCGATAAGGTCTACGCAATAAATATCTTATATCAACTACTGATTTATCTACCTGTATATAAGTATGAACATATTTCTATGACTTACGTACTGAAAAACATTTTATAAAAAAACATATATAAAGGGGGGATTATATATACACATACATACATACACACACACACACACACACACATATATATATATATATATATATATATATATATATATATATATATATATATATGTATGTATGTGTGTATATGTATATTTAAGCTTCATTGAAACATAACATAGACATATGCTGTCTATCTATTTTATAATAATCCTCTCTTGTTTGTATTCACTTTCACATGTGTGTGTGTGTCTGTGTTTGAAAAGAATGTCAGATTTTAAAGCGTTATATATACTTCAGAAATAAACTGGTTAATTTTGAATCTATCTAAAGAATATTCCCAACACAAGCAAACAGTATTATTTTGAAAAACTAGTTCAGAAAAAAATTTAAAAAGAAGCGATTTCAACATGTTTTTTATAATAATCTCTTATAATTATAATAATAATAATAATATATATATATATATATATATATATATATATATATATATATATATATATTTTATTTTATTATAAATTATAATATATATATATATATATATATATATATATATATATAATATATATATATATATATATATATATATATATATATATATATATATAATTTAAAAATGATGATAAAGGAATGTGTTTTTCAAAAATCACAATCAAAACGATCACAGTTACAATAAATTTGTCTCTGTAATTCACCCCCAAGGATGATCTTGGAGGAAATGTAATGTACTTGGGAAGGAAAAAAAAAACAAAAAAAACTATGGCGTCTTCCTTGATGAATTTCATCTTAACTTCAAGAAAGTGAATACAAACAAGAGAGGATTATTATAAAATAAATAGACAGCATATGTCTGTGTTATCCATGTTTCAATAAAGATATGAAGCTTAAATATACATACACACACACACACACACACACACACATATATATATATATATATATATACTGAGAGAAAACAACAGGCCTGAAGAGTGAAGGGATTACTGCAATGTGCTCACGAAACTTCAAGTCAGGTATAACTGAAATAACACTACTCAGTTAAGGGATAAGTTTCTCCAACTCATAAATATATATATATATATATATATATATATATATATATGTATGTGTGTGTGTGTGTGTGTGTGTGTGTGTGTGTGTGTGTGTGTGTGTGTAATGTCAGTGATGAGGGTCCTACTTCTAAATTATTCTGGCAATAATGAATATGCTAAATTTCGTCAAATTTGTAAATTCATTCTATTTCCTACTAAAATATATTATTTATTAACATTATTCCTTTTAAAGCTATCTGGCTGTCGAACACTTGCCAAACTAAACTCCTGGCCTCACCCACGAACATTAAGAAAGGATGAATCACAATTTAAAACAGTTACCAATGAATAGTCATAAGTAGAACACTAATGTTGCGCACTAAAATCCACTCGGAAATGACAGCAATGTGGCTATGAATTCAGATTTTTTTGTTGTCATCTATGGTCATTTTTTATTTTCTTTATTTTTTTTTTATTATTTAAAATGTAAATGTCTGGGAAGCTTTTATTTTTAGCTTCTCTTAAGTTCTTGTTATGAAAATTTTGTCTACAAACATGGCATGATCAACGTGTAATAATATGGTTGAGTTTTCGAAATGGCGATGAACATGAAGGAATGTAACGAAAATGTTGTTTAGTTGTGTTGCCTCTCAAACCGTTCTATGTGAGTTTGTATCATAGATCGCGAATCTTTATATCCGACTGGGTTAAGAGTAATAAATAAAAGAAAACTGAAAGTATAGGACATTAAAAAAAAATGGAAAAAAAGAAAATACGAAGTAGAAGATTGAAAAATGTACGATAAGGTTGAAACAATAAAAAAAAAATCTCAGAAAAAAAAAAGAAAAAAAAAAGAGCCTCGTTATCGAGTAATAGTTAGAAATCTCGCGTGGCAGACATTGCAACTGCAATGAGTTCAATCCGTACTGTTGTCTCGACATTTGTGATCTTTCTGAGCTAAATAAATACAAAGAAAGGGGAAAAAAGAAAGAGTTAGAGCTGCGAATAGAAGAAAGAAAGAAAGAAAGAAAGAAAGAAAGAAAGAAAGAAAGAAAAATAATGAAAAAAGAAACAAAAAAATGAATAAAAGAAAAAAGAATATAAAGAAAAACGAAAGAAAGAAAAAGAAAGAAAGAAAAAAGGAAAACGAATGAAAAAGAAAGAAAGAAAAAAACGAAAGAAAAAGAAAGAAAAGGAATTAAAGAAAGGAAGAAAAACAAAAGAAATAAAGGTTGGTAATAGATAAATAAAACGAAATAAAGAAAGAAAATGTAAGAAAAAGAAAGGAAGAAAATAAATAAATAAAATGAAAAAAAAAAAAGAAAGAGAAAAATTATTGCTCTTTTTGGAAATATAAACCGGCATATTACCAAAACATCTGATATCACTCTCGTCCATTTGAGATGACACACTTTTTGTTTCTCACCAGTTAAGAGAGTAACAAGAACGAGGTCGCCATTTATGTTGTCCGCTCCCTCGGCCTCTCTTTCGAACAGCTGGACACCTGTCGTCGGAAAAGATACTTCATGTTCTCTTCCCAAACTACTTCCGGGTTTGCTCCCTTGATGAAGTTATATCGCCTCTCCTTTTCTCTTCGCTTTATCTTAACTTCAGAAGGGACAATCCTTTATTGTTGGGATCGTAAGTACTCTGAAACATGTTTTAAAAGACGTCTACAAATCCAATGAATCAACTGTAAATAGAGAAGGTACGAAAAACCTACACAGTCTTCTCCCTCTTATTCTCACTTGCTCTCATTTACACAAACGTACATGGAATCCGAAAAGCTACGAATGACCACAGAATCGAATTCTATTTTTCACAATTTCCTCATTAGTTATATTTCTAAATTAAATACACAAATTGTAGAGTTAAATTATACATAAAAAAACAGAAATTGCTACAATGTACGGCATAGTTATGATTAGATTTTAAAACCGCTTAAAGACGATCACTCCTCATAAGTTATAGATTGCACTAAAATGTCAAAAACAGGTTTAGCAACCCCCCCAAAAACAAACAAACAAACAAACAAAACACATCACGTGAATACTTCCAGCAGCAATAATAACAAAAATAGATAATCAAGATATTATAAAAAAAAAAAAAAAAAAAATAGAAGAGGTTTGGAAGAAAATTCAGATCAATATGAGAAAGAACTATAACATTTAGTGGACCTTAAGAAGCCGAATTTCTTGAAAAACTGTTTATAAAATTCAACCAGCAGATACGATAACTGTTCGGTTACAGAATCCCAAATGTTTCTTCCAGATAATTTCACCAGAACCCCATATATATATATATATATATATATATATATATATATATATATATATATATATATACACGTCTTACCAGTTTGTGACTGCAAGGAATAATTCCGAGAAGGAGGATATATATGCAGAGAGTTCAATGTAGACTACAGAGCATTATAATGATAATAAGAAAACGGAAACTTTAATTATTCATTTCGATTATAATTTACTTCGTGAACACCGAGGTGTTCTACTCTTCAGATCGAAATCTCCTTTGTCTGAAGAGTTGAACATCGAGATGTTCACGAAATAAATTATAATCGAAATGGATAATTAAAGTTTCCCTCTTCTTATTATCATTATATATATATATATATATATATATATATATATATATATATATATATATATATATATATATATATTAAAAGGGTTAGAATTTTGCTTTCTGACCATGAGACCAGGGTTCGAATCTCACCATGGTCGATTTGTCATAATATTATGATGTTATCGGTCTGGATCGGGGTTGAACCCAGCGTGCGGCACCTTTGGAAAACCATGCCTGAAAACCAAACTCAAGACCAAGCCTGGTGAGTGAAATTGGGTAGACGGAACTTGTGTGAGCCGTCGATAGCTGTGCTAGCACGAAGCCACAACTCATCGTGGCCGAGGGCGGCTTGAGTGTGTTGGCCTTGTTCAGATTGTTGTTCACGCTAGATAACACACACTCTCTCCGGAACTGTAACTAAGGTCTGCTCGGCATAGTTGCAGTATAAACCACAGATGGGATCTGTGGGTGTTAAATAAATACAAATGTGCCTGAGCGAGGGCCTGTAATAGGGACAGGCAGTAGCCGCGCTAATAGACGGATATCCTCGAATGACCATCTATTATATAATATATATACATATATATATATATACATGTGTGTGTGTGTGTTGTGAATTTTATCTCGGTTGCGAATGTATATTCACACGTACTTTGTTAAAATGAAATGTCATTAAAATGACCATGGTGAGATTAGAACCCGAATCTCATGGGCATATTAAAATTTCCTTTACAAACTCACGGGTTAATTCCCGTATGTATTGATTGAAATTATGATAAAAATATTTCCAGTTTATGTATGTTTATTAAGTTTAGTAGACAGACTAAGTACATCTTGGTAAATAACTATTTATTTATTTTTTGCAGGTTGCTAAACGAGAAGGAGAAGCGGCCTTTTATCGACGAGGCAGAACGACTTCGCTTGCAACATAAGAAGGATTACCCTGATTACAAATACCAGCCCAGACGTCGTAAGCCCCTAAAGGGAGCTGTTAGCAGCGGGTCGTCCGGAGTAGACGGACAGCACCACATGCCCCCAGGAATGATCTTAAAGACCCTGCAGAACTCCTCACCCTCCCCGATGAGTGATGGCGACTCCAGCAATTGCTCTAGCCCCAACAACGGTTCTCACGGACCACCCACGCCGCCAACCACGCCAAACCAACAAGAACTCATCAAATGCATGACCGATCGTTCAAGAATGAGACAAACTATGGGTAAGTGGGTTTTATTGAATTTATTAAACGATCATGGCTCTCCACATTTTCCCGTTCTTCGTAGCTCTTAATAAATGTTGTCTTTTTGTTATGTCTGTAAAAGTCCACCAACCATTTACTCATGATTACTAAGTAGGCAACACGTTGTTTTCATGTCCTGTGAGTATCAGATTTTCCAAGCCCTCTTTCCTCATTATGAAATTTCAACTGTCTTTCCTTTTTGTTTCCATTTTCTCCAAAACTGCGACGTTGCTCATATATTCGGCTCAGGGTATCCTCGGCATCCTTCTGTAGAACCACATATCTGTTGGTTCAGGGCTCTTCGTCATCTTTTGAGAGATTGTCCAGCTTTCGATGCCCTATAAGAAGACAGATATCCCGTAACAGTTCAGTACTCTTTTCTTTGTTTCTAATAAAGTTTTTTCTGTTTCTTAATACTCTGCTTAGCTTTTGAAATACATCTTTGGCCATCTACACGCACCTTTGCATTTCATTATCGAATTTTCTATCCTTTGTTAAAATACTTCCCAGATGTTTAAATTTTGGTACTTGTTAGTGTTTGGTATCTCTAATTTGTAATTTGCATTTTGGGCTCATCCTTTTGCTAACATTCTAGGCTATTGTAGTTGATGTTTAGTCCTTTCTTCTCGTTTTCCTTCATTACTTTCTGTAGGAACTTTTGTCGTTAACTTTCTGCGTCTGCTATCAGTACTGTGTCATCTGCATATCTGGCATTCTTAAGACTGTGGCCGCCAATAATAAATCCTGTTAGGACTTCTCGTTCTCGCAGTCTTGGAATATAATAAACCTGTAACATATTTGTTATAGATATTCGGTTGTAGGAACTGCAGAGATTACACACGCAAGTATCTATCTATCTATCTATCTATCTATCTGCATACACACAAAGATTTTTTTTTATTTGGATCTAATGAAGCTTAAAAAGGCGAAACGCGAAATCAAATCTAGATTCACTGAAACGTCCTCCATTTTCTCAAAAACTTTGTCGGGATTCTATATCTTATTTTAAACGCACACACACACACACACACACACACACACATATATATATATATATATATATATATATATATAAGAAATATAGTCTTAAGGTGTGCTATATTTATTTTGAAAGAGTTGAGCTTTGAATCTTTCAGCAACACACACACACACAAAGACACGCACACACACAAAGACACACACACATATAATTGTTACGATACAGGTTTCTAAGTATTAAATAAATATAACATAAAGCAAAAAGAATTGTATGATTCTTAAATGATAAATAAATAAGGCTCTAAAATTGACATGGTTACAAACCAAAAGTAACTTTAAAATACGTAAAATCATTTTGGTGATCCACTCATATACTCATAGTAAAGGAGTCGCTCGGTCAATAGGAAATGAAATATACCATAACGTGTCAGTCTCGTGTGAGGGTATGACTAATCTGAAGGTATCTGACCACAACGAAAGTCTAGATTTTTTCCCTTTCTATGGACGTGAATCTAGCAACGATGGGAATGTCCGGAAAGTGACCCAGCGGGTTAAGATAATCATACAAACAAATTCTCCCAGATGTGAGAGACGCACCTATGTAAAACAAGAATCAAAAATATGTTAGTCATATGACAAGCTAAAATTTTCCCGAAGCTTACGATGTCCGTTAGAGAAATCGAACTTAAATAACTGCGACCGAAATGAGTTGTCTCCAAGATGTATGTTATGTGACGACTCTTTTTTTTTAAATTTTTATTTTCATAAGAAACTTACGTCTTCCTGGGTATAACATCCGGTAGCAAGACTTCTGATAGGGAGGTCTTGAGGAGCATCGAACATCATCTTAATTGCTATTGTTCCTAGTTCTACCGTGATCCGAGGTGGTGGCGCCTGTTAGGGTCTCACCTATGGGAAAATAGTGTTTTAATTATTGTTTAGTTTTTCACTAAGAAAGTATAAAAATAAATTATGGTAAAAATGCCAGAAATATATTTATCAAAGTAAAAAAAAAAGTGACCAATAGTAATACATTTTTATACCAAAATGACAATCAATACAACACAAAAGCATTAAAATCCATTTTTAAAGTAAAATTACCAGCAATACATTTTATAATCTACTAACTATATGTCTACATACGTTTGTCATGAAAGTATACAATTATGTGCAAAATATTTGTAGTTGAAGTTATGTTCAAAAAATTATATTTCTGACCGCGATGTGATTAAATGGGAGGCGGAGTAATGGATAGCGGCTCGGACTGAGGAATCGGTAGAGCCAAGTTCGAATTCCAGTCGAATCCATTACATTCACTTACTTATTAATATCCTTGGGAAAGATATGAATCCTCTTCTTCTCCCCCACAGCTATGGGTAAAATAACAGGACAGATCGGGTTCTATAGTATCTGGTCTACCATAAAATAAAATGACGACCTTCTGCGGGGGAAAAATCTGTCTCGTCAGTCATATACGATACATGATCGTCTAAACGTGTATCACGCATGGCTTATAACTGATTGATTAAATATACTTTAATATTTAAAGAAATTATTGAGTATTATTATTGTTTAGTTAAATAAGCTTTATAACATAGCACAAATAGCTATATTGTAGAAAAAGGAATTTTCGACAATATACACATTTTTTACGTATTCATGGTTATTTTTTTTTAACTTTTATGAAAAAACGACATTTTTGTATGTGTAGTTATGGATAATATTATACATTAATTACTATTTTTTTAATTAATAGCTATTTGTGCTCATTTGTTGATATCAATAGCTACCTACTGATGTGTTAAAAGTTTGTAATAATAAAAGTTTAAATTTCATCTTTCTGATAGATGTCGAGATCTGTAAATAACCCAGTTTGATATCCACGAAAGAAAAGCAACTAAAACAAATATTTCGACCAGTACACGAGTTTCTTAGGTTCTGAAAAAAATCGTTATTCAACCTGCTTAAAAGGTTGCTAATATTTTAGTTTTTTTACTTAGATCTAAACAGACAATTCAATGTCACCAAACTTGTATAATTATTATTATTGTTGAGTACGGAATAAAATAACGTGTCCCTTCAGGAGGTTGGTGATCATGACTCTCCACGATTTCTTTTCCTTTGTAGCTTTTAAATAATTCTGTCATTTTTGTTATCTCTCCTCGTTGTTCCGTCATGCATTTATTCGCTAGGTAGGTTATGCGTCCTTTTCCTTTGTTCCAGTTGATTTCATTCTGTCCTGTGAGTATCAGATTTTTCAAGCCTTCTTTCCTCATTATGTGTTCTAGAAATTTCAACTGTCTCTTCCGGATGTTAAATATAAATGTCCTGATTGTTTCCATTTTCTCTAAAAACTTCGCCGTTGCTCCTCTGTTCGGTTCAAGGTATTCTCAGCATCCTTCTGCAGAGTCACATTTGTGTTGTTTCAAGTCTCTTCTTCTTCTGTGAGGAAATTGTCCTCCATATAGGAGGACAGATTCGCTTGTGAACAAATAAGGAAAATGTTTAGATGAAACATAACTGACCAATGAAAATCAAACAGCACAAAATTAAAACAAGCAGAAATTCTACTTTTTCTCCATATCTTATTCTCTGCTGAAGCTTTAATGAAAGTGAAACATGTTAGATTGTTAAACGTTTCCTATTTGTTCTTATCATTTGGTATAGTCTAAACTAAAAAGGAGGCATGGCTCGGATTGAGGAATCGGAGAGCCGAGTTCGAATTCCAGTCGAATCCATTACATTCACTAACGTACTAATACTCTTTGGAACGGGATGAATCCTCTTCTTCTCCCCCTACCTATTAGTGAATAGCAGGATAGACTGGTTTATATAGCCTTGGATAGCAAACAATCTACCGAAGAAAGAAATGACAACCGACAGCGGGAAAAAAATCTGTTTCGTCAGTTATGTATCAAAAGATGCATGATCGCCTAAGCCTGTATCACGCATGTCACGTAAATGACTGACTAAACTAAAAAAAAAAACCCTATAAAGCAGAATTAATTAAATGATAATACTGATAGTTATTGAAATGATCAAACATTGAGAATTAATTTCTTCCTTTCATTTTGATTATAGGTCAACACTCGCAGGCACACCCTATTGATTTTAGCCGAGTCGATCTTGCTGATGTCATGAGTTTAGAAAATATTGATGAACACGAACTAGATCAATATCTGGCCATGAACCCTGGAGCCTTACATCCACACCAACACAATGTAGCTGCCGCAGCAGCCGCCGCTGCCGCTGCCGCTGCACAATCCGAAAGCGGTGGCTACTCCTGCTACAACCAGACCAACCCGACTTCTGTTTCTACAGCTTCGACCTGGACGGCAAACTACAGAGTTTCGGCCGGCGCTTGTGTCCAGCCCTACAATAACGGTAGTCCAACCAGCATTCCTTACGACCTGTCCTCACAGCAGCAGCAGCAGCAACAGCAGCAACAACAGCAACAACAACAACAGCAGCAGCAACAGCAACAACAACAGCAGCAGCAGCAACAACCACCACCAGCTCACCAGGGTCCTAATGTACACCCAGGCATGACTTCTAACATGGTAGCAAATAGTTCTAACGCCGGCGCAAATAGTAATAGTAACAGCCCGAATGTCGGGGTGAATACTAATGGTGCTGCTGGCCATCATCATCGAGTGCCAGTTTACACGACGGCAGCAGAAAACGAATGCAAATTTCGCGAGCCCAACTCACCAGCAGCGATCAAATTAGAGCATCTGCAAGCACCGCCACCCCAAGCACCACAGGCCCAGCCACAGCCTTTGCCTCACCATTTCCGGTGTGAGTCTTCCAAATACGATGATTACGACAACAATGTATCACGTTACCCAATCAATGACGACCAACTTTACTCGGTACCCACTCACCAACCACCGTATTACTCCAGCCCGAGCGGACCTAGTGTCTCAAACCCTTCCCCACCAACGTATCAGTATCTGTCAATGGCCAGACAAACTTTTAACCCAATCGTCGCCGCGGGGCCTGGAGAACAGTCATGGGAGCGCTACACATGAAAATAATATATAAAAAAAAAAAAAAAAAAAATCGAAAAGAAAGAACAAGTTCTCGCTAGAAGACTGTTTTATGTAATAATCTTAATAATGTAAATTCTCGCGTAACGAACACACCTAAAGCAAGCCATCCATAAAACAAGAAGAAGAAAAAAAAACACAAAAAAAAAAAAATCTCAGCTGTTGAATGCTAAACAAGTGGACGTACGCATGCGCGCGTGTGACAAGTTTGGCAAGTGAGAGAAAGATCATTATAACTAACATCAAAAAAAAAAAAAAAAAAAAACAAAAAACAAAAACGGAAACATTTTAATTATAATTTTTTTTTTTAAAAGTTTGGTTCTTAGGAACCATTTTTGGAAGTATGGACAGCTTTCTGGCAGAGAATACAAAAAGAAGAAAATGGACACGTATTTTTTTTTTTTTTTAAATTTCTCTTCCCACTTTCTTTCCGAGCTTCGGGCTTCCAGAAGCCAAAAAATAAACAATCCTAAAAAGAGAGACAGAACAGACCACACAACAAATAGATGTCTGTATTGATGAATGCGCAGTGTAGCTTCCAGAAAACGCAAGAAACAATTAAAAAAAAAAAAAAAGAAAAGAAAAAAATCTTCGCAAAGTGCGGGGTTAAAAATGACAGTTTATTTTTAGTAAATGCATGAAACTTAGTGCATTGAGTCTGAATCTTAAAACAGAGAGAAAAAAAAATTAAATTAAATTTATAAAACAATAATCGTAAGTTTTGTAATAAAACTATCTCGAATTTTCCACCTTGTGGCCTTCAGTTGGTTTAAAACTGTAATATATTGATCAACGAATCAGTGTTGTCTCAACTATACACCTATTTTTGCTTCTCTTCCTGTAGTAAAGAAAAAGATTTTATTAACATTTCTGAACGTTTATTTTCGAATCGTAGTGCTTTTTTAAAATCATGATTTTGTTTTGCATTTCCATTTTTTTTTCTCATATTAATAATTTGAGAGAAACACGCCTCTTAAGTTCCTACCCGAATGAAAGTTTGTTCTATTTGGGCGGCCCCTAGTCAGCATATGCGCAGGTCACATAAAAGTGTCCAAAGCATATGCAAATACAGACGAATTATGGAAAAAAAATTCCTTAATATATATTTCTATTTTATATAAAATGTTAAATAAAATCCGTATACATCTTTGTATAAAATATCAAGCATGCATATATGCTGTTGTTTACTAAGCTTTGTTTGGCACAAGGCTAAAGTATGGGGCACCCAGTGAGGCTCGAACTCAATACTGAGTAGTAATGATCAAGCAGGCTAGTTCGCTAACCAATTACCTCATCTCGAGGCGCCCAAATTTCATATATGTTAGATAAAATACAAATGTATTTAAAAAAAAATATAAACATGCACGTATACATACATACATACATATATATATATATATATATATATATATATATATATATATATATATATATATATATATATATATTATAAATTAATTGATTTAAAATATGTTTTTTTTCGCTACACAGTTCTAACCATATTTCAAAAATGGAAGCTAAAAGCCACGAATTTAATTTTGTGATTAAATTAAAGACATTAGTTTCATTTCATCCTCTTGCTGTTCTTTCTTTTATTTATATACATATATATATACACACACACACACACACACACACACACACACATATATATATATATATATATATATATATATATATATATATATATATATATATATATATATGGATGCAAAAGTAGATATACGGCAGTGAAAACAAGACATGCGCAGAAAACGTATATTGATTATACAAACATATTGTGTGCGCATATTGAATTTCATTACTGTATACCTACTTTTGTATTCGCTATACACATGTATGTATTTGCGTAGATCTTTTTATATTTACAAACTAAATAAAATATATTTTCTATTGAGATATATAAAATATATTTTTTGATATATAAGTACAGTGCAAAATCGATTTAGCAATCTGTTCTCTTGTGTTCGGATTTAAACTGCATAATCTTTCACGGTTGTATTTAAAGAAATCATTTAATCGGAGGTATGCAAATTAAAACAACATTTTGTTTGGAGATAAAAGCACGTTTTCCTCTTGCATAGTAACTTTTTTTTGTGAATATTTTTTAATACATTTATAAATTTAAAATTCATCCAAATATTTCGGAATTATATAATCCTTAATTTTAAAACTCACTACATCGTCACAAGGATTGAAAAAATCCTATACAAAAGCCTGTTCTCCAGACAGTGAAAGCATCATGACAATGTCATAAGAAATAAACTATTTAATTTACAAATGTATGATTTTAAATGTTATGCTGTTCTACAGCGTGATTTTTTTTAAAAAGTTTCCTCTGGTTATCTCCCTTTATTGAATACACATCAGAGGAAATTCATTCTGATTAATAATACAAAAATGGAACTCACTGAAGAGACTCCGAATTTTCAGTTCATTCATACATAAGCTTTTAAAAAATAGCTTTATGAGGATTGATACTATGTATTTTTTTTTTTTCACAGTATCCGATAAGTGAATAATTATATTGTCCGGCCAGACTGAAATTAAAAGTTCAAGTATTTAAACTTTTAAGAAAGATACATTTACGGTGATGAAATCAGGCGATATATAAAACTTTAATTCTAAAAACAAGACAAAACAAAAACAAATAAACAAAACAAAGAAAATACAGAAGAATATATTAGAACCATTTCTTCGTCTACATTTGACAGATTGTCTTATCTTAATGCTGTTTGTTAAAATGGTTCTCAAATAGAGTGAACAGATCCCTGTTGATATGATAAGAGAATAGGGTTATACTATTGCAATAAACGACACAGTCATTAAAAACATGCCTGTGTGCTTAATCATACATACAACAAACACGCACAGAGACATATATATATATATATATATATATATATATATATATATATATATATATATATATATATATCTCCGAATGTAATGAGAACGAAAATAATATAAATTCTAACGTTCACAGCATTAATTCAAAAGAGGGCTCAATACCAAGAGTAGAGCAATAATTATTTATTATAATGTGATGCATTCTTGTTTCGATGCGGCTGCATCTCGACAGGTGAGAACCAATAAAACATTTTTGATTCTCAACTCTCGAGATGCAGCTGCATTGAAACAACAATGCCTGTTTGTAGCGAGCAAGTTGTTTTTGTCCATATGTTAAAATTATAATATATTGTCCCCGCGTTAATTTCTTATGAAAGTTGACTGTCTGGCATGAGTACATTATATTGTAACCATCTGTATCAGTCTTTAAGTTAATGCCTGACTGCTGTTAGATGGCAACTCCTGGTCATGATACATTTCTGAGATAACAATTTATATTTTTTCTTTCTTGCTTAGTTTGAATTTAACGTAGGACATATTCGATTGGTTGATCAGGGTAAAGCCCTAAAGCCTTATGTTATTTTTTTTTAAAATGAGGATGTATTTTGCTTTTGAAACAAAATTAATCGTCCACTCGCCAGTAATTTGCAATCGCCTGAGGAAACGCATTGTTATGTGTTTAAACACGTCTGCTATTGTGTAGCAGTTCTTACATGTTTTTGTTGTAATATATATATATATATATATATATATATATATATATATATAATGTACTAGACTCTCCTATCGTTTTCGGCATATGTGGGTCAAAAAATTCAGTTCTTAGAACCGAACAGCCAGACTACAAGCACACAAGATTTGATTATAGGGGTGAAGGCATGTGCAACCACAATTTTCGGAAGGAAACTGATGCGCATAGAATGCGATAAGGTCCCCAAACGACCTTCCTCAGGCTTTGAATTCAGAGTTGTCCTTCTCCTAGATTGGTTGCCAACCAAGGCTATAGAACCCTTTCTGTCCTGCTATTATTTATCTATAGCTAGATGGGGGAGGGAAGAGATGTATTCATACCTTCCTCAAGAGTATTTTGCATGAAAGTTGATGTAACGAATTCAACTGGAATTCAAACTATATATATATATATGTATGTGTCTATGTGTGTGTGTGCTTCTGTATGTGTGTCAGTGTGCACGTATGTGTGTGTATTTTATGCTTGTTATATTATTTGTTTGTCTGCATGGAATTAGTGTGTGTGTTTGTATGCATGAATGTGTGTGTGCGTGTGAGAGAGAGAGTGGGTGTGTGTGCGTGTATGTGTGTCTAGCTGTTTTCTCTTTGTGGCGGCTTATGTGTGACAAAATTAGAGAAACTGCACATTTGAGAAAGAAAGTCTCTCACTCTCTCTCTCTGGTACTCTGTCACTTTCTTTTTCTCTCTCTCTCTTTCTTTCACTCTCTGGCTCTTTATCTCTCTTTCTCTCTCCGTGTCTTTCTTTCTTTCTCACACTCTCTCTATATCTCTATCTATCTATGTGAATGATAGTTTCTCTCTATATGTGTCAGTGAGCTGGGGAGCGATGTGAATGTGTTTTTGTATTGATATCTGTCCGTATAATTTTCATACATCGAGGCTTAGATTCCTGTTCAATATTTAACAAGCGTATATGTAATACACATTTGCAGGTCTTCTCACTTAAATACGCAAAAATCCATTTTATAATTTATTCAGCAATGTCACAAAAATTAAGAAATCCCAAATTATTTCTTCTTTTGTAACACACATTATAATTTAATTTCTCCATCTCGTGTCGCCATCTTTTCTCATTGCCCATAAATCCGTTTAAGATACAGAACACAATTTCTGCAAGTATTCTATGCTTCATGAACATTTAAAAATTACGAAAGACATCGGCCGTCAGGCGATATCACTTTAAACATTGTGTTCAGTCAAAAAAGTTCGAGAATCATTCCTCTAAAAATAATTTAAAAAAAAAAGATTTCATCAGCTTAATTTTTTCCAAACAAAATCACATTCAAAACCTTGTGTGACCTTAATACAATTTAATAATGCCGGAGTTACTGCCCTTGTTTTACTCACGGTATCGTTGTGGGCTTCCAAGATAGATTTTTCTTTTTTTCTTTTTTTTTTTTTTTTGTATATACATCTCATAAACCAGAGAAATCTTCAAATTTTTTTTGTGATTTTTTTTGTTTTAATCGAGAACAGGTATTTGAAAATAAAGAACATTTACTATTACTTTCGTGTTTTGTTCTTCGCTTTCCTGTATTTGGTACCAAATACATTCTTCAGGCTTAATATCGATGATGTAGGAAAATGACCATTGGAACCAAAATATTTGGATGCCATCAAAAGAGGAAGAAGTCAAACGACAAAAGAGAAAGGCCCGACAAAATCATCCTCAACCTCCATCATTATTACCATGCCATCGGCTCCTCCATGCAAGAATTAGTTTACTTTAGTCATCAACGCTATCATCATAAGGAAAGCGATCAGAAAAATTCTTGGAAACGAGATAAAGGTGACGACGACGACGACAAAAATCACTTGACTCCTGTGATGAGGTGGGGGTGACTAGGCCTCAGGTGTGATTGGCACTCAAAAGCAGTCAGTAAAATGATTTAAGTATTGAAAAACTCATTTTTTTTTCAAGAAATAGAACCTGCGAAAAACGTAAGAGAAATTTGAAATCATTTAATGATTATTGGAATCAAATTCAGAAAAATAATTAATTAAGGAAGTCAGGAACTGGAATCTAGATGATAATTAATAACTTAGTACAAGTGGGTACCCGCTAAACTCGTCAAGCCAGGCGAAAATTATGACAAGGGTTAAATTTCTTCCTAGGCCAGAATTAAAAATTATCTCTAAAAATCCTTGAGACGAAGTTGTTTTCATAAAAACAAATCCCTTAGATTCGTGCGATTACTTAGAGCGAATAACCTCTCTAGAATAAAAACTCAAAGAAAGACATTAGGCTATGAGTTGTTTTTTTTTTTTTTTTTTGATCAGGGCGGTACGTAAAGGAATTGATATATTCCGTGCTAATAGGAATATGGAATGGACAAACACGGTGGATAAAGGGTAACAGGTTTATTGTAGAAATCAGTACAACAAGCAAAGGAAGTAATAGTTATGAGCACGGTCGTTTCAAGTCAGTATAGTGTGCGTGTTGCTATCGGAAGGTGGGTAGTTCTTGCAGATCCCAGCACGACGCTATTTAGCAACTGTCCCACGCAGACACATGTGGCACAAGGCCGAATTTAAAGTGGGGTTCCCGAGCCCGGAGAATAGACTCCAAAATCCCCGTAGACCCCGCATAAACGAGGTCGGGTCTGTCTACCTCCCCGGACAAAACTCTGCCCTTCGGCACAGCCTTCGTCCGGGTTCCTCTCTGCCTTCGGGCAGAGAGTTCGACTAGCGCAGCTGGGAAAGATCCCAGCACGACGCTATTTTGTAACTGCCCCACGTAGTCACATGTGGCACAAAGCCGAATTTAAAGTGGGGTTCTCGAGCCCGAGGCTCGGCCAAAAAATCACCGTAGATCCCGCATAAACCGGATAGGGTCTGTCTACCTCCCCGGACGAAACTCTGCCCTTCGGCGTAGCCTTCGTCCGGGTTTCTCTCTGCCTTCGGGAAAGATTCCAGCTCGACTTTGCTGTCCGCTGTCCTAACGGATACTTATAGGTGGTCACCACGTATAGTGCCGCCACTCATGGGGGTGGCAGGCTATTCCATTACATCAGGCATAATCGCCGGTGGTTGTTATGGGAGGACTAATTTTCGGAAAAAATCCATTATCAAAAAGTCAATCAAGTTGCTAAGAATAACCTTATAACTGTGAGATTAACGATCAAATCGTACCAATACGTCACTTGTGATAAGCCGGCCAGCTGAGTTTCCGTATGAACAGCGCAAGCCGATTAAACAGAGCATCCCGTGAGAGGCTAACAGGGAGGAAACAGTTCCGCTTTGGCAACCAAAAGAAAGTAGGCGAACAGCAAACACGGACAGATGCGAGACAGAAACGTCAGCTAGCAGAAGTTTAAGCACGAATTCACCAACACTGAAGACTGTTGTTCAATAATCCTCATAATGGCGAACGCAGGTTTCAAAGTTCAGACGCTGTCAAACATTAGAATTTGGTGAAAAGCATAGCAATTTTCTAAGCCCGGCTTAGATGTGGCACAAGGCCGAAAGTATGGGGTACCCATTGAGGATCGAACTCACTACTCAGTTGTAATTGATCTAGCAAGACAAGCTTTCTAACCATTACACCACGTCGAAGTGCCCAAATTTGGTGAAAAGTATAAACTAGTTTGAGACACGTATAAATTCAACTACTAAATTACATGGTGTTTCGAAAGTCTTGTCGCCCCGATATGATATAATTTTATATTTCAGATAGCTGACACGAGCTCCTACACGAAAATGATGGTGTTCATACAGACTTTCTGCATGTGTGACAGTGTCAATGAAAGTGAATAAACGGGTGCCAGTATATGTGCTTTGTATTAGTGTATTAATTGTTCTATTGTTCTCATTACTAGTTGGGGATGACAAGATTTTCGGACCACTCTGGACATTTTAATTAATATTATGTTATCTTCTGGGTATCTATGTCATTATTCAAAGACTTCGTGAGACACGTGGCTAAGCTGAAGGTGGAACAAGTAAAAAAGTTGCTGAAAGAGATTCCTGCCGAGGACGTTTGCCGAATCCGTGCTGTGAACAAAAGACCGTCCACTGTGTCCGGATCTTGATTTTCAGTTTACGACGGAAAAAAAAACACACTGGGTAGTCGCAACCAAGATAAAGCGATCAAAATAAAGCATCTAATGCCGTAGTTCCCATTGTGGGACGCACGCCCCACATGTGGGAGACAATTTAAGTTTTAAGGAGGGGGGCATTCGAGAATGAATTATTAGCAGTGTATTTTCTAGTGAGTCTGTGTGCCTATGAGTGTGTGTGCGATTTAATACATACGATGCATATACAGAATGATATACATAGATATATAATTACGTATGTATGGCAGAGTGGTTGGGACGTTCGCATGCGGAACATGAGACCCGGTGATCGATTTGTCCGGAAAAGAGATTTTTGATGTTATGGGACGGAATCGAGATTCGGTCCCAGCGTGCAGCACCTTTGGAAAGTGCCTGAAAAACATACCGTGGGTTGACCCAAACTTTGTGATTGAAACTGGGTAGACGGGGGCCGTTGAGTGCTGTGCTAGCTCGAAGTCACAAGTCATCGTGAACGAGGTTTTGAGTGTGCTGGCTTTGTTCAGATGAATCATACTCTCCCAGAAAATGTAACTGCTCAGCATAGTAGCAGTATAAACCACAGGTGGGTTCTGTGGGTGTTAAGCAAACACAAATGTGCCTGATCGAGTGTCTGCAATAGGAGGGACCGGCTATTGTATATATATATATATATATATATATATATATATATATATATATATATATATATATATATTCACAGAACATCTGTGAAAGAGAAAATTAATAACGAAAGCACAATTGAAGTACCGAGGAAAAAGATCCGAAGAAATTGTTAAAAATTATATATATATATATATATATATATATATATTATTTTTAGAATAGAGAAGTAGAATAAAGGCATTCTACTTTCAACACCATCACTTGATAAGACACCGTAAGAATTGAAATATTTTGTAGTGTTATTTATGTTATAATTTTCGAATAAATAATTATTCAGAATAGTATTTTTGAGTTATAGGAATTTATACCATATACCAATCTTATACTTGTATATATATATATATATATATATATATATATATATATATATATATATATATATATATATATATATATATATATATAATATATAATTATTTATAGATCTACTTTTGTATTGAGCACTCTTTTAAGAATAGTATTTTTTGTTATTGGAATTTATACCGTATACACCAATCCTATGCTTGTATATATATATATATATATATATATATATATATATATATATATATATATATATATATATATATATATATATAAATAACCATATATAATTATTTATAGATTAAGAAAAGCTCTGCCCATGATTTTGATTTAAAAAAATCCTACTGGAATTAAACAGAGGAACCAATTCACTAAGACGAAAAAGTATAGAAAGTTCTTCAATCGCTAGAACAAACAGAAAAAAACGATACAGAAAGGGGGAGATCGGCTGGACCATAAACTCAAAACGGAAAAAAATTTCGATTTTAAATTTCAGGGTCCACTCTCCATGCATATTGTGTAATCATGACAAAGTAAACATCACATTTTTCTGATGAAGTCCCAAAGGATGAAATGCCTCAGACGAAAAGTCTTTTCCCCTTTTCTCATAGATTTTCCCGATACGCACGCACGCATATGTACACAAACACACATACATATTTACGTTTGGTTGACTTGATTTAGCTGCATATCATCACTTTTATGGGTTATTTAATGGTTTCAACTATAGATATTTTGTACATAATTTAATACTTTCAAGGCAAACGTAAGCTCTTTAGATATATATTTTGTTGATCATAAAATGTATTTATATATATGTCAGCTGTGAATATACCTGATAACATCCTCGAGCGCTTAGCCTTGGAGCGGGTAGAGTGGAGATCAACGTGTTTTAGTGGACTCAGCTGTTTTCAATCAGCTTGTTCGAACCGTCTTCAAGAAGCGAGGACAAGATCTAAAAGGTCAGCCAGTCTAACAGTGATCTCATCTCACAGTCCTCACTCTTGCTCCATATGCAGCCTCCTTTGTAAATCACTAGCGGGTCTTAAATGTCACTTAAATTTATCGCACAAAATTTCATAACTGAATCAATTAAGTTTTCAGATCCTCATACGTCGAAACCGAAGGGAGAGAATCCATTATATATATATATATATATATATATATATATATATATATATATATATATATGGAATATATATATATAAACGGAATAATTGGAAAAACTTACCCTGAAGAATCGTTTAGGCGAAACCTAGGTAGGTTGTTCCTGGCTCTTTAGGATTTATTTTATTTATCCCAGCTCTACTTAGAGTATTTGAGCACTCTAAGTTTTAGTTTTATTACTCGCTTGTTTTTTTTTTTTTGGGGAATAAAACTTAAAGCACTGGACGATTATTTCACCTGTTTTTTTCCCTATTTTTTCTCGGTTACCAATTTGTTTTGATAGACTTACAAGTTGTGCTATCCGAGGTTTGTTACCAACTGAATATTACTAGTAGTTTAATAATATATATATATATATATATATATATATATATATATATATATATATATATATATATATATATGGACAGAAAGCGCTAAATATCAATGATAGAGCTAAC